AGCTAAAAGATTATCTTCTAGGCAGGCTAGATGGTCACTATTTTTGTCCCGTTTCAACTATATTATCACCTATAGGCCAGGTGATCGCAAAAATTAAAGCAGATGCTCTGTCCAGACAGTTCAAAACTACTGAAAAACAGGAGGTTGATGTTACTCCTGTCATTCCCCCAGACAGGATAATAGCCACTACTATGTTGTCTATTTCTTCATCCCTCTTGCAGACCATACAGGCGAAACAAAGTATGGCACCTAGCGAGAGGCCTATTGATAAATTGTTTGTTGATGTTCTCGAGAGACGGGAGATTCTGTCATTATATCATGATACTAAGACTGCTGGACATCCTGGTATTACCAAAACGATGTCAGCAGTTTATCGATATTTTTGGTGGGGTTCCTTACGCAAGGATGTTACTGACTATATAAGTGCTTGTACTACTTGTGCATGTATGAAAACGTCTCGTAGAGTTCCTTGTAGGCTTCTGCATCCCTTACCAGTTCCCGAGAGACCTTGATCTAACCTATCCATGGATTTTATTGTTGAATTACCCCCTTCGAATGGTAACACAGTCATCCTGATGATAGTAGATCGGTTTTCCAAGATGGCTCACTTTGTGTCTCTTCGCAAGTTGCCCACATCCAAGGAACTGGCTCTTATCTTCGCTAGAGAAGTATTTTGGTTACATGGTATTCCTGTATCTATCGTGTCCGATAGGGGTAGCCAATTTATTTCCAGGTTCTGGAAAGCCTTTTGCTCAGAAATGGGTATTTCTCTCTCATTTTCTTCCGCTTACCATCCCCAGTCTAATGGAGCTGCTGAACGTGCCAACCAGTCTCTGGAGCAGTACCTTCGTTGTTTTGTGTCTCACCATCAGGACAATTGGTCTGACCTACTTCCTTGGGCTGAGTTTGCTCGGAATAATGCCACTCATGATTCTTCCGGCAAAATCCCTTTTTACGTTGTCTATGGCCAGCATCCCGTTGTTCTTCCGGCTGCATTCTCCTCACAGGGCATGCCAGTTCTGGATGAGCATTTGGCTGGTTTGCGAGACCATATGGTACTTGGGAGCAGGTTCAGCATTCTTTGGTGGATTCCGCTGCTCGCCAGAAGGCTCAGGCTGACAAGCATCGCAGGGCGGCTCCTACTTATGTTGTGGGGGACAGGGTTTTGCTTTCCACGCGGAATATTCGCCTGCGAGTGACTTCAATGAAATTGGCTCCCCGCTTCATAGGTCCTTATCGTATACTGCATAAGGTTAATCCTGTTTCATAAGCCTTGGGTCTTCCTAGGAATCTGCGTATTCCTAATGTATTTCACACCTCGTTGTTGAAGCCTTACGTACGCAACCGCTATACCCGGCATTCTCCGCCTCCCCCTCCTGTCTCCGTGGAGGGTCATGAGGAATTCGAAGTCTCTGCTGTTCTTGACTCTCGTTACCTTAGGGGTCGACTTCAGTACTTGGTGCATTGGAAGGGTTATGGGCCTGAGGAGCGCAGTTGGATTTCAGCTGATGCTGTTCACGCTCCCCGCCTTGTGCGTTCTTACCATTCTCGTTTTCCTGCCAGGCCTGGCCCTACCCGCCCGGAGGGCGTGTCCTCAGGGGGGGTACTGTAGCGTTACTCACCTTATCCAGGGGCCGGCCGCGGTCCTCTCTTCGAGCCGCGCGCGGTCCTGCTGCTGCACGAGCCGCGCGCGGCTCATCCGACAGCTTCACTAGAAAGGCGGGCAGTGACCGCGAGAAGCGGTCACGTGTCCCGCCTGAATCTAAGAGCGCGCCGCGAGTCTCGGGCGCGCTCTTAAAGAGACAGTGGGAGCCTAAATTGTTAAAAGGCTCCCATTGGCCCCTGTCATGCCACACTCCCCATACACTTACCTTTTGGGGTGTGGATATGACAGGAGCCAATCACATTAGTTTAGAAGCTATTTAAACTTACCTCTCCCTTTACTCCCTGCCCTATCGTGGTTTCTGTATCAGTTCCCTTTAGCGCTTGTTGTGTTCAGTTGTGTTTCTCCGTTTTGACTTTGGCTTTGTTTCTGACTACGTTTTCTCTTTATCCTTATCTATTCTGGTTGTCGGCTTGCTGTTTACTGTGTACCAGACCCCGGCTTGTCCTAGTTTACGCTGTCTCTCTGCGCCCTTGACTTCGGATTGTTCCTGACTCTGCCTCCTCTCATATACGTCGAGTCCGGCCATTCTAAGGTCCGGTAGACGTATCTCTCCTCTGTGTTGTCTTCTGTTTAGCTGAATCCTGCGTGTTGGGGTATATTCACGTTACACAGAGTGACTAAAACACAAGAGTATTCTGGGGACCTACATAAAGTTTTCAGACTCCAGTGATGGTGACTACTGTCACGGTATCAGTAATTGGTTGATTTTAATTTTTACTTCAGTAGACTGTACACGTTTATGAATAAGGTTTACATTGAACACTACTTATTAATGTATCAAGGGACTCTTTCTGGTATCCTCTCTATTTGGGAATTGTATTCTTCTCTTATATCAACATATGTTTATGTCCTGGGACTAGCACAAGGAGGGGCCCTCATTTAAAGATGCTTTTTTTTATTCTTTCGTTTGAGTTTTTTTGTTTTCCTTTTGGTTAAATCTTAAAGGAAGAGCATATAATTACTCCATGAACCAATTGGAAATATTTTAAAGAAATGCATGTTTTGCAATGTTTACTTTTTTATAGTCCAGCAGAGTGCAAGTGATTTCACAAGGTATTCTAATATAAACAACAGGTCAAGACATTGACCTTCTGGGAGTTGACAAAGTTCATTATGGTAATTCCAAGAAATCGATATTCTCTCTTTCATTTACTTTGCTGCTGACTTGTAACTTTGTAGGTAGATCAGCGGGGATCTGAGAGAACCATATCATTAGATACATTGCTGTTGCTATAATTCAACAGCTTTTGAGAGAGGTGAGGATATTGTGAGTTTGGTAGACACAATCCAGCACTATTGGCTTTAAGAAGGTTGTCATAAAGTTGTTGATTACTAAACAGTTTTTCTTTTATTTTTAGGTTCATCATGATGTACTATTTATGGATGCATTCTATTATTACAACTGCAATCATGATGGTGTTGTACACCCAGGCTAATTCAGAAATACCAACTACATGTTCTGTCGTTCAGGGTCTTCCAGGTCTTAATGGCAGAGATGGAAGGGATGGAGCTCACGGACAGAAAGGAGAGCCAGGTTCGAGCCTATCTATGTGTTTTATAGACTTTTGCATATTTCATGTAATTCAATAACCGTACATAACATGTTTTACACCTGTTTATTTTAGCAATAGAATAGGGACACAAAGCATAGTGTTTTGAATCTGAATATAACATTTAGGAGTTGATATAGAGAAACTAAGCAACAATGTGCAATGTAAGTCTGCAGTTGCTAAAGTCAGTAACGTATTGTCATGTAAAAACAGGGGCATTAATGCTAGGGATGAAAATATAATGCTGCCTCTTTATAAATCACTGGTAAGTCCAAACCTTGAATATGTGGTGCAATTCTGGGCACCTGTTCTAAAGAAGGACATTATGGACATTATGGCAGAGGTTGGCTACAAAAATTAATAACATAAACAGTTCATTTTAGTTAATAAGAAGATTAACAAATCTGAATCTCTTTAAAAGAAAAATCTCTTTAAAATGGCGCCTCATAGAAGATATGATAACGATATACAAATATATTTGGGACCGAAACAAACTATTGTCAGGAAACCTATTCATGAACAAGACTATACATAGGACACACTGTAAGAAAGGGAATTTAGTCTAAAGCAAATGAAAGGTTTCTTTATGTACAATAAAAGTTTTTTTTTTAAGAACAATAAGCATGTACTAAGTACTACTTGATACTAAGATATGTAACAAGGTTGATGTTCCAGGAGGGATAAGCCAAATGACAAATGATTTAGGTAAACTAGAAAAATGGTCAGAATTGTGGCAACTGACATTTAATGTGGATAAGTGCAAGATAATGCATCTTGGACGTAAAAACCCAAGGGCAGAGTACAGAATATTTGATAGAGTCCTAACCTCAACATATGAGGAAAGGGATTTAGGGGTGATTATTTCTGATGACTTAAAGGTAGGCAGACAATGTAATAGAGCAGCAGGAAATGCTAGCAGAATGCTTGGTTGTATAGGGAGAGGTATTAGCAGTAGAAAGAGGGAAGTGCTCATGCCATTGTACAGAACACTGGTGAGACATCACTTGGAGTATTGTACACAGTACTGGAGACCGTATCTTCAGAAGGATATTGATACCTTAGAGAGGGTTCAGAGAAGGGCTACTAAACTAGTTCATGGATTGCGGGATAAAACTTACCAGGAAAGGTTAAAGGATCTTAACATGTATAGCTTGGAGGAAAGACGAGACAGGGGGGATATGATAGAAACATTGAAATACATAAAGGGAATCAACACAGTAAAGGAGGAGACTATATTTAAAAGAAGAAAAACTACCACAACAAGAGGACATAGTCTTAAATTAGAGGGACAAAAGTTTAAAAATAATATCAGGAAATATTACTTTACTGAGAGGGTAGTGGATGCATGGAATAGCCTTCCAGCTGAAGTGGTAGAGGTTAACACAGTAAAGGAGTTTAAGCATGTGTGGGATAGGCATAAGGCTATCCTATCTATAAGATAAGGCCAGGGACTAATGAAAGTATTTAGAAAATTGGGCAGACTAGATGGGCCGAATGGTTCTTATCTGCCGTCACATTCTATGTTTCTATGTTTCTATGTAGAATTATCTGCCTGAAGAGGTTGTTTTATTGGAGTCTATTGAGTTGTTTAAGCAGTAACTGGATAATGTCATGATTGGTAGGGAACCCTAACTCACAGACAGGACAGAACTGCAATTTCAGTCCTTAAAATGGCTGGGCTATGCAAAAGGATAGTCAACATACAAGCCAAGGTCAAAGGAAAACAGAGAGATGGAATACGAAGAGACAAGCCGACGTCAGGGAGCACAGAAGACAGAGTAAACGTGAGGCAAGCCAAGATATCCAGACAAAGTGCAATAGTACTAAGTAAAGACCACACCAGGACAATGAGGCAAGGGGAAGGTTAGCTTATAAACACACAGGGTGTGTCTGATTGGCTAACCTCCAATTAGTGTTAATCACAACACGTGGGAGGTGTTTCTTCCCTCTCTTGTGATCGCTGAAGTCATCACTGTGTGCCGGGTCACATGACCGGGTTCGGCACACATATAAGGAAGCTGCCTTGGAGCGTGCAGAGTCAGAAACACTGTCAGTCTGTGGAGCAGTGGCGGGGACAGGTACCGGAAAACGCCGCTCGCAGTGATGGGGTAACCAAGGATGCCGCGAGCAGCACGGGGGCATGGGACCTGACAGATAAATACTTGCCAAAACATAATATTCAGGAATATAATTTGTAATTATTGGGATTATAGCTTCTTTATCTAAGGAGAGATCTGTCTGGGGTCAAGAAGGATTCTTTTGTAGTTTGTTGCAAAACTGGAAGCGCTTCAAACGGCAGTTTTTACTTTCTTTTGGATCAAGAGCAAAAACAGATGTGAGAAAGGTGTGATGAATGCTGTTTTGATGGACGCTCTTTTCAGCTATGTAACTATGTAACTAAAATGTGTCATCAGCAACTTTAAAGGCAGATACACTGTGTCTTTATAGGGTATTTGAAGTGGCTCTGTTAACAAAAATAAGCAACTGATAAACTGTATCCTTGTGCACCACTGCCTATATGCATTGTGCACTTGTGTTATTTAAATAATGTGGAAATAAATACATCATACCTCTATTTCCTGATAGTACACTCTAAGAAATATAATGCATGATTTAAATTTTCAGTGACTTTTATTCCACCATACATTCATTTTGCCATAGAAGCCGTAAATAAAAGTCTAAATCAATGTATATTTAATTTTAGGACAAAGTGGGGAGACTGGAAATTCTGGTATAAGAGGTATTGAAGGACCTCCTGGAAAAGTAGGACCTAAAGGGGATCAAGGAAACAGAGGAAGCCCAGGTTTTTCAGGTAACTATTTATCCTAACAATTCAATTGGTGGTTAGTTTAATTTTCTAAAATTATTGCAATTGAAAGGTATGGTTTAAAAAACTCCCTTTAGTAAATCTTTTGTGAACTTTTCAAATGTCCATTATATATTTATTCTACTTAGTTTACTCTCTAAACCTCTAGGTACTAATGACAAAATAATTCCATCATCACAAACCAGCCTTTAAATGCAATAATTTAACTCCTTAACAATGTTAGGACTTGTCATGCCGTCCTACAAAAGGAGGGCTTTAAGCATAGCATGCCCTAATGATCGTGGTCTCACGGGAGACTAAATACTGTAATTCTATATATGTATTTATGTATTATTTTTACATAATTATGTGATTGTATGAATTACATATTGAGGAACCTGCCTGACAATCATAGGAAGGCAGATAGTCCAGAAAATGTAATTTTCAAGCCCTATATTTGACCCTGAAACTTTTCAAAACTCCATAAAAGGATGACATTTTCTATATCTATATATGTAAAACATATATTGATGATGAAAACATTGGTCAAAGGGCAGTTTTGTGAAAAATGCAAACAAAAAAAGAAAAAATATGAACATAATTTGACCAGGGATTGTGACTAAGTGGCTATTAAAAAAAAATTATAATTTCAACCCCTAGTGACAGACCGTTTTTTAATTTTCTTACCGTTAAAGGGACACTCCAAGCACCCAGACCACTTCTGCCCATTGGAGTGGTCTGGGTGCCAACTCCCACTACTCTTAACCCTGCAAGTGTTTTTATAAACTGCAATAATTACCTTGCAGGGTTAACTCCACCTCCACCTCTACTAGACAGCCACTACCTTCCTGGTTCCTAGCACAGGAAATCTGTGCTAGAGCGTCGCTGGACGTCCTCACGCTATGGATAGGTAACCCAACTAAGTGTATATTTATATATCTGGTGATACTCTATGTTTGGTTTAATTAACTATGGTAATTCTGCATACAGTTACTATCATACGCCTCTAAACACTCTTTTTGTGTAGGCCCTGGTTTACGTTTGAATGCCATGAAACATTGTTCTCTTATATGATTTTCATATTCCCCAGCTAGGAATTATCCTCCCTGTATTGGTCCCCCAAATTTGTCTGGGGCCTAAATTTCACTATCAATTTACAGGATTCTTCAGTCTCCTTATATGGTTCACTTAAATAAATTAGATTTTTGCATGAAGGTTTTCACTCATTTATGCCTCTAATGCTAGCCTGGTACATTCCTATACAAATACTACTAAGTCTTGGTTCTTTATCCTAAATCAACAGCAGGTCAAATTCTATTACTGCTTCTCCGGGATCAACACAGTATATTCTATGCTCTCTGCACCTAGGTTACTGCTTTTCCACTTCTAAATATAGGGATACTGGTTATTGTATCTGTTTCTATATGCAGGGAAGTCCGGGTCTGGACACTTAACTAGGAACGAGACACTATCACTAGTTTAGTATAATACATTACCTAATTTCGGATTTGGTGTATAATCAAATTATTTATTAAGGTTAGGCTCCTAATCCAAATCACCTGCTGGTTGCTTCCCTAACTGCTTACTTCAATGCTTCTTAAGTATATAGAATACCCTTTTGCCTGTATTACCATGTTTTTATGTTCCTTAAACAGGACTACTGTTTTACCTTGAATTTGGTTTCTTCCCAAAGGAGGTCTCAGGTCATTTGGCCACATATGGGCTCAGACAAAATTACAAATTTGTATAATATTTACGGGGGCCACGTACATACGCCTTGCATATTGCATCATACCATTAGTTGCATCATTTAGGACTACTGCTTTCACTTTCGTTATAAATAGCCGGTTTTCCTTCAATGGATCATAGGAAGAGTTGAGCGGACATCTGGATGTTTGGGTCCAACAGGTTTGGCCGAACTTTGAAAAAAAAGTCCGGGTTCAGGATCGAACTTGACCCCGAACTTGACCCCGAAGCCCATTGAATTCAATGGGGACCCAAACTTTTGGGCACAAAAATGGCTCTAAAAAAGTCCTGGAAAGGGCTAGAGGGCTGCAAAAGGAAGTAAAATGGGGGTAAGAGTAGGACAAGTGCCCTGCAAACAAATGTGGATAGGGAAATTACTTAAAATAACAAAAAATATATACAATAAGCAGCCACTTAGTAGATAACTCGCTAATTCACACGGTATTAGGGATCCATCTACCAAAAGGCTGAAAGACCTAAACGGGTCTTTCAGCCAAATGTACTAATACTAAGTAAAGATTACTTAGTATTAGTAAATTCAGCCCCTACTTGCTATACCGCGAGTAGGGGTGTGTCTAGTAAACAGTGAGCAGCCAGTGGCTGCTCACTGTAAAAAAAAATCTATTGCCCCCACCCCTGTGCCATGGGTGGGGGCCCTAAATAAGAAGGTGGAGGGGGAACCTACTGTCCTCCCCCTCAGCCCCCACCCCTGAGCGGCGGATGGGGGCCCTAAATAACAATAAGGGGGGGACCTAATGTCCGCCCCCACCCCTGGGCGGTGGGTGGGGGCCCTAAATAACAATAAGGGGGGGACCTACTGGCCCCCCTGCCCCCACCCCTGAGCGGTGGGTGGGTGCCATAAATAAGAATTTGGGGGGACCTACTGTCCTCCTCCTGGCCCCCACCCCTGCGCGGCGGTTGGGGGACCTAAATAACAATAAGGGGGGGGGACCTACTGTCCTCCTCCCGGCCAGCACCTCTGGCTTCCATGACCTTTGGCTTTGTTTTCCGATTACACTTCCTGCTCTAACCCTGACTTTGGCTCGTCTGACGTTCCTATATTGTATTACTTCTTCACGTTAAGTCCGGCCATTTTAAGGTCCAGTAATAAGTTTATCTGGGGTTGCCTCTCTTGTCCTTTAGTTTGCGTGTTGAGGAACTCAACCTTGACATTACGACAGGGCCATGGACCCTGCAAACTTGGGGCAACAAATGGCAGGTTGCGAAAATAGAATGGAGGGTTTAGATCGTAGGATGGATCGGTGTGCCCAAGCTTTGCAAACCATTCTTACTAGAACTGCTTGCCTCCAGCAAGAGGTGGACGAGAACAGTGCTCAAGGTGCTGTATCCTTACCATCCACGTCCCATCCTACACCATCCGTTCGTCTCACCACTCCTCCCCATTACTCCGGGGATCCGTCTTTATTCAGGGGCTTTTTGAACCAGTTGGGGGTACATTTTGAAATGGCTCCCAATTCATTTCCCACTGACAGGTCCAAGATAGCGTTTATTATGAACCTATTAGATGGTAAAGCTTTAGCTTGGATAAATCCCTGGTGGGAAATGTATGATATAATTGTATTTAATCTAGAACTATTTCTCAGGACTTTCAGGAATGTGTTCAGTCCCCTAGGCAGAAAGAGACTAGCTGTTCTAGATCTGTGGCCGACTATGCCATTGAATTCTGTACTTTAGCCTCGGAGGTAACCTGGAATAATAGTGCCCTAACAG